GATTGAGCTAATGCTACATAAATTTTGCTAATGAGCGTATCTGAAGTAATACGAGTATGTCTAAGCGTTTTAAAAATCCAGGCTAATTTTCTAAATCTACATGTTATTACATCGATATGTTCATGCCAAGTTAAACGTTCGTCTATAATGATTCCCAAGTACTTGGTTGAAGAAACTTTCGTAATGACAGAACAGTTACAATTTTGAACTTCGTCAATATTGCAAGTGTGAATCTTGGCGTTAAAGTTATTTCCTGGTTAAGCTCGGTTTTTAATAGTAAAAAAAATAATTAGTTTTAAGTGCATTAAACGTTAGAAAATTAGATTGAAGCCAGCTTGCAATTATAGTAAGGCCAGATTCTGTATTTTTACGAATCTCATCCCATGATGCTCCAGTAAAAACTACAGCTGTGTCATCGGCATATGTGAACACACGGGCACCATTAATTTTTAGATTACAAAGATCATTGATATAAATTAGAAACAATGTTGGGTCTAAAATACTACCTTGTGGTACGCCGTAGGTGGTGATTGTGTCCTCACTAATAAACTGTCCTATTTTAACTTTTTTGTGTACGGTTAAATAAGTAATTCTTAAACAATGTCAAGGTTGTGTCTCTGATGCCGATGTTTTCTAATTTTTGTAAAAGGATGGGGACAGAGATAGCATCAAAGGCCTTTTTAAGGTCTAGAAAAACTGGGGTTCATTGTAGAAGCGTGCTCGTCGCAACCCCTGCCAGCCCTTTTCAGGGCTGCAATTCTACACAGCTGCAAACCCATGCAAACGAGGGTTAGGGCGTCCCCCCAAGGCGCCGCACACCAGCTCGTCCTCGTTGGTGTGGAATGCAGCGCGCAAAGCGGCGATGGAGACCACCACCCGTCACACACAGCCCAACACGGCGGAAGGTGGAAGACGGAGTGCAGAGTTGACTCGTGGAATGTTAGAGGCATGAGAGATAAAACGAATGAGTTGATCGAAATAATGAAAGAAAGAGAATTAGATGTCGTGTGTATGTCGGAGACCAAACGGAAAGGCAGTGGTACTGAAGAGCTCCCTGGCGGGACGTTAGCTGTATGGTCTGGAGTCCCGGAAAGCGAGAACGCCTGCCAGGGAGTGGGGGGTGCTGTTGTTGTCCCGGTTGGTCGATCTTATGACTGAATATAAGGTTGTGAACTCAAGACTTCTCTGGGTTCACTTTAAACTGGGACTGACAAAGTTATTCCTTTTGGCTGTTTATGCGCCGGTAGCTTCGTCGTCCAGGGCTGAGCTGGAGGAGTTTTGGAAGAATGCAAGAGAAGTTCTAGATTTGGTTAAGGGAAACGAAAGAACTGTTGTATGTGGTGATTTGAATGGATGGGTAGGTATCACTCGACCAGGGTACGTGTCGGTGCTTGGAAAGTTTGGCGACAAAAGGGTTAATGATGCTGGCAAGCTTATACTGGCTGTATACCAGGAAAAGGGTCTTCTTGTGACAAACACTATGTTTAATCACAGGAAAATCCATACGTACACTAGAGAAAGAAAGAATGAGAGAAGTATGATTGATTTGTTCCTGGTGGATGACCGACTGCGAAAACAGTTGATGAATACACGAGTGTTCAGGAGTGCTGACCTGGGAACGGATCACTATCTAGTAATTACTAGATTTAGGGGTTTGTTCGCGGGTTGGCGCTACCGGACGGCAGTAACAGAACCAGAGTCGGTCTGTCGCATCCGAAGCTGGAAGCTTCAGGAAGCGGATACTAAGGACAAATATCACACGAGGGTAGCCGAAAAGCTTGACACCATCGATGGCATAAAATAATGTGTGGAAAGGACATGGCAGAACCTTAGGGATGGAATGGTAAGTGCAGCGGAAGAAGTATGTGGAACGACAAAAAGAGGTAGTAGTAAAAGAAGAGATGCATGGTGGAATGATGAAGTGAGAGAAGTTGTAAAGAAGAAGAAAGAAGCATGGTTAGACTACGTGGCCTATAGTAACGATAAGCATATGAGAGAGAAGATGAAAGAAAGATATAAGCTGCAGAAAGTTGATGTGAAAACATTGATTGAGGAAGTGCGTGAAAGGTGTAGAATAGAAGCGGACTAAAGGTTGTCGCACAACTTTAAGAAAAACTCCAAACTCTTCTGGAAAGAGGTTGGAAGGTCCCGGAGTGGTGTGATAGCATTAAGAACGAACAAAGTGCTTTCAAAAACTAATGACATCCTCTCAGAAAAATCGGACGTCATGCAGCGATAGAGCGAATTTTATAGAGAAATGTATGCGTGTCATGATCTTAGTGAAGGATCCGGGGCTGACGCCGTAACTGGCACGCCAAACATGGATCTCGATAACACTGAAATCATCAGCATGAAAGAGATTGAACGTGCGATTCAAAGTTTGAAATGTGGTAAGGCTGCGGGACTAGACAGAGTTACTGCTGAAATGGTCAAGTTCGGTGGGCCTCGCGTCCGGGACAGCTTTCATCTGCTGTGCAATTTGTGCTGGCAGACGGGAGGTGTCCCGGATGACTGGCGATCCGCGGTCATTTTGCCTTTATATAAAGGTAAATGTTCACATTTTGACTGCGGGTGATATCGGGCGATCAACTTGACCAGTTTAGCAAGTAAAGTTTACTCGAAGGTTTTGACACGTAGGATGCAAGAGAAATCAGAAAGATTATTATGGGAGGCACAATGCGGATTTAGACCTGGAAGAGGATGCACGGATCAAATGTTTTCTCTGCGCATGATCACGGAAAAGCTTCTGGCTGTTAACCAGAGGAATTTATGTGCTTTTGTGGATCTGGAGAAAGCATTTGATAAAGTTATAAGGAAGAAAATGTGGGAACTGTTGTCGGAATATGGTGTGGATGGTCGATTGTTAAGGGCTGTGCAGTTATTTTACTATGACTGTAAAGCCTGTGTGCGGATAAGGCATGACCTATCACCCATGTTTAGCGTCCAAGCGGGCGTAAAACAGGGTTTTGTCATGTCTTTCTGGCTGTTCATACTGTATCTCGACAGCTGTTTACAGAAGCTGATAAATAGCTGTTTGGGTGTGAAATTGGGTGACATTAAAGTAAATTGTTTGCTGTATGCTGATGATGCCGTGCTTATTGCACCATCAGAAGAAGAACTGCAGGCATTAGTCACGTGTATGAAAGAGGAATGTGAAATTAAAGGTCTCCGTTTGAATGCTAATAAAACTAAGGTTCTGGTATTTGAAAAGGACGAAGAGAGAACGAAATGTGAAATATGGGTAAATCAGGAATGTCTAGAATAGGTAAATAAAATTGTATACTTGGGGAGTGCTTTCAGCCGGGATGGAAGATGTGATTTAGATGTGGACGGGCGTGTCGCTGCCGGGAACAAAGTCAATGGTGCCCTGAATGCGTTAGTCAAAAGGCAAGGCGTAGTAAAGAGTGCACGCCTTGCAATACATAACGCAGCGTTGGTACCAAATTAGTTATATGGCAGCGAAACCTGTGTATGCCAGAAGAAGCATAAAAGCAAGGTGAATGCAGTGGAGATGCGATCTCTTCTTAAAATGTGCGGCGTTACTATAGCCGACCGAAAACGAAACAAAGAGATTCGTAATATGGCAGGATTGAAAGATGACCTTATCACAAAAATTGATAGGGGCATACTCCGATGGTTTGGGCACGTTGAGCGAATGAGTGAGGACCGAAAGGTGAAGAAAATATATAGCGCGAAAGAAAATATTAAAAGGTGTCGAGGTAGACCGAGACTAACTTTCGAAGACCATGTGAGCAAATTACTCGAAGAGGGGAAGGTCAAGAGTACTCGGATACCTAGACGTGCATGTATGAAGAAGATAATTTTTTTTATTTTTTTTATTTGTATGTGTGTGTGTGTGTGTGTGTGTGTGTGTATGTGTGTGTGTGTGTGTGTGTGTATGTGTGTGTGTGTGTGTGTGTGTGTGTGTGTGTGTGCGTGCGTGCGTGCGTGCGTGCGTGCGTGCGTGCCGTGCGTGTGTGCGTGCGTGCCTGTGTGCGTGCGTGCGTGCGTGCGTACGTGCGTGCCTGCGTGCGTGCGTGCGTGCGTGCGTGCGTGCGTGCGTGCGTACGTGCGTGCGTGCGTGCGTGCGTGCGTGCGTGCGTGCTTGCGTGCGTGCGTGCGTGCGTGCGTGCATCACAGCGCGAGCCCGTCTACGTCACAGCGAGTTTTCTTGTAATGATTTGCTCAATTTATTAACTAACATTTCCATAACTGTTTGGGGATTGTCACAAAAAATAATTTCAGTAAGATTATTTTGTAATAAGCTGTTAAAGGCACTTTTATAATCTGTAATTGTTTTTGTCTTTGTGCAATCATTTATTAATTTTAAGTTAGATAGGTTAAGTAGTATCATTGAGTTATCAGTAATTGTTGTAAATAAGACAGCAATTTGAGCATAGACCTTACCTTGTGTTAGCTTTATAATGAAGTTATCTAGGCAACTGGTTTCTCTTGTTGGTAAGTAGTGACCTGGTATTAAGCTGTGCATACTTAACATATTTAAATAATTTTCTCTGTTACTACGTTCATATGAATTTTCATTTATTTAAGGTGCAATTTTAACGTTTATGTCGCCAGCTAAAATTACAATTTCTTTTAATTTTATGTTTCCTACATAAATGCAAACTTAATGAATTAATGAATTTATCGGCGTTAGTATTTGAATGAAAGTGGTATATTCTCTAGATTGTACTGTTGTATGCATCTATTTGTAAGCATGAAGCGTGTTCTAATTTAACTTCTTTAACCTTAGCGTTTATAGTATTTTTGATATACACTACTACTCCATCACTCTGGTTGAGGTGACAGGTTGTAGTAAAATGAGTATAGTTAGTAACGCATGGAATTGTTTTGTTTAGGCTTAGTCGGCATTCAGTCAAAATCAAAATATCAGGTTTAAATTTTAAACAAGATAGTGTTAAATTTAGGTCATCTATGTTACTATACACACTTCTTATATTTTGATATATTATGGTTAAATCATTATTTTTCACAGTAATTTAATTTGGGTCTTCAATGTCGTACTCAATAGCGTTTGCAATTTCGATTTTATCCAATTCTTTCCAGATAATTAAAGAACTGTCCATTTCAAAAGTAGGAGTATTAGCTGTCGTCTGTATGTGTATACATACGTGTAAATACCTAATATATGCATTATAATGTATACATTTATAGATAAAAACATATGTTTGCATCCTAATATGTACATTGCTTTTCTCGTATACGGTTCTACATTATTAGAATTTTTCTTTTAAGAGTTAGCTGTTTATTAATGATAGTGTTATATATGATCATTTTTTGTGATATTGAAAGTGATAGGGTTTTAATAAATGCAAGTGTAAGCTGTCTGTAAGAATGTATAAGTTGTGTGTAATACATATAAGAACTGATGACTAGTGAATTAATTACAATGCTTAGAAAAAACTTACGAACTAAAAGAAATATAGAAAAAAAAACTAAAAACTAAAGTAATTTCATTATTTAGAAAAAATTGCGCGTTCTGTTCTAGTCATGCGGTGTACAATAACTGGTTAACCTGGGCTTCGTTCTTTATGGTTATTATTTGAGATCTCTTATCTTTGCGAACATAAACTTTTCCGTAGGCAGTCCAACAAAACTTGTATTTTTTTGTTTTGACAAGATCTCGAGCTAGGAAGTGTAATCGTGTACTTTTAGCAGTTAGATGATCGGTTATGTATATGGGAGTATCTTCAGCCGTACGAAAGCCAAGGTGTTTTGCACAAAGTTTAGTTTTGAGCCTGTTATTAACCCTTTAACGCGCAAGTAATTTTTTTTTCGTAATTTAATAGTTCTTGTACAAAAAATATATTTCATATAATAACAATGTCCATAAAAATAATAAAAAAATATTTTGAAAAACTGTTTTTGAGAAAACATATGTTAATTATACTCAACATCACGAAAGATATAAAGAATTAAAGGTATGTAGAGATGTTAAGTATTTTCAACATTGCTCTTTTATGGATGATCAAAAATAAAGCGAATACATTAAAATAAAAAGTTTACTGTTTTACATGGAAGTTATAGAAACAATTTCTCTTACTCACTAAGCATAGTCTCAAAGAACATTTGGTACATTGCATATCTGTGAAACCGTTTTTACAAAATTTGCACCTACCATAGGGAACAAATACTGGCAAATGCCCAGTGTTATCGTATCGTACAGCATCAGGTGGTCTCGGAGCAGATGGTAATTGAATTTGGGCAGCAGCATTATTTTCCTTATTCGTGTCTTTGGGAACTCTATTTTTTTTTCAATAGTTCTGTGCATACATTAATCCGGAACTTTTTTAATGGCATGCATTTACTGAGTGATATATTGTTATCTCTTTTGTATAACAGCCATGCATTATTGACACATATGTCTATGGCTTGCGAAAATATAGCCATGTACCACCTCTTGGTTTTGAAAGAACTGCGATAAATTGCGATTAACATATCGGCCAGGTCGACGCCCCCCATGTGCAAGTTATATTGTTTTATTATTTGAGGACAATCAACTTCTGCCCTTGTCTTAGTATCTTTCGAATAACGCTTGATTTTTTCAATAGGGTGCGAATCCACAAATGAACTAGCAAGGGTAACAGTTTTATTGTCATGCCATTTTATAACAGCAATTTTATTTTTATTGCAAACCACTTGCTTGCTTGAACCCCTTCCTTTTTTGCCAAATTTTTATCTGTAGGTAGTTTATCTTCACATCCTCTCAGTCTATTGCTTCTAATTGTGCCCAAGCTGAATAATCCGTACTCGTCACGTAAAAGATGTATCAATTCAAGTGACGTAAAAAAATTATCAAAGTATAAAATTGCAGGTCTTTTCTGTATAGTCTTCGCCAGAGCCAGAACCACTTTAGCCCCTAAGCCAAGGCTGTTTTCATACTCGTTAAATGACATGCCCCTAAAAGTATCGTCACCACCGTATGGCAAAAAATCATATACTAGTCCCGAAACTCCTGCTCGTATAAACATTTTGAAGCCCCATTTTTTGGGTTTTTTTGGCAGATACTGCCGGCGGCTGCCTGCCCTAGTGCCTTTATAGGGTACCATCATTTCATCGATGCTGTACCTTCCTTCTTCTTCAACTAATAGGCAGTTTTGTCTTATTTTCTCGAGGATGGGACGTATTTTATAGTAACGGTCATCATTTGCATCGATATTATTCGAAAAATGGAGGTATTTTCTAATTTGTTCATACTTTTTCAGGGGCATGACATCGGCAATAGGTGCATATCTTAACGTTTGACTCCAATAGTCCCTGTAAGATGGCATTTTCACTACTCCCATTAAAATGGTTATGCCGAGAAAGTCACGAATATCATCTTTGGATATATTTATGCCTTTCGCTTGCCCCCCTCCACATTGTACAGCATATAAATTTGTTTGATCCACTATTAGATCTATAATATCTTGCGAAAAAAAAAGAATAAAAGTAGTCAAGAGGAGATTTAGTATCGGTAGGTGTGCTGAATTGAAACAGGTCTTCAACAGTTCCTGCATATTTAAATTTACACTTTGTCCATATGAAATTAAGAGGTTTGCGGATATATTTTTTTTACCTTTTTTGTTACTAATTTCGGTCTATTGATAGCTTTCCTTTTATTTGATCTTGTATTTTCCGGAAGTGCAGATAAAAGTGGCGAATTTAATGTAGGTAAGGTATGTAGTAACTCTGACCCCGGTCTAAATATCTCATTCATAAGTGGAGTCAATGGGACTGTATCTTCTTCGTAAGGAGATATGAGAGATTCTGGATTTTGTTGGATATTGGAGTTACTATTATCAGATAGATCGTCCAGGATATTTAACCTTTCTAAAGAAGACTCTATTGATTTTGGCTCGGAACTAAAATCAGATAAGTCAATCGTCTCAACGTGTTCTAGTAATTTAGGAACCTGGTCTTCATCTTCTGAAGTATTGCTACTATCAGAAGGGGCGCATGCAGGAGGCACCAAACCCATAATACGCCTAGTCCGCTCCCATTGTGGTTTTACCTTCAATAACCAAAAAAAAGTATGCAAACCCAAATAACCAAGCAAATACACTTAAAGAAGTTCGCATAATTTCAAACAAACCCAAATGCATTACATTTAAAACAATAACCATTAAAAAGATAGCTATTAAAAACCATAACTCATTACCAAAAAAAAACACAAACATAAAAAACACCATATAAAACAGCATTAATGTTACTCTATGTGTCGGGCAACGTTGAGTATTCTTAACGTACCCAGTTATATGTACTTTAGTCTATGTCTCGTAACGTTAAAAATACTCAACATGCATCAAACGCTTGTTTTATTTCATTAGTAAATGCAGTTGGGGATGCAATAATAAGATGAAAACAAAGGTTAGTTATTTGCAAACACAATTATAGCAAAATAAATGTACAAATCTTATGACAATCGCGAAATTCAGAAATAAATTACCTTACGGTCACGCATTGCTGCTGCACCCGACGCCATTTTGCGGCTAAGTATCAAATTTTGACGTGTGACGTGTGAGATACTTTTTTTTTTAGCTTGTCAGTTTGTTTGCCTCTCCGATTGTAAAGTGTTACCATATAATCATCATCAACAATTTCTAACAAATAAATATTTTTATTAATAGTTGAGTATAATTAACACTGCGAATTAAAGGGTTAAAAGATTTTGCCATTTTTAATACGTTACTTTTTAGCAATGTTGCCGAAGTCTCTACCACAATGGGAGTATTGCGGATATTTTCTCTGTTACTACGAATACGATATATATCTTTTATATCTGCTTTGTTAAGATTACTCTCAATACTTTTGGATAAGCACATTACCATGTCTATTAAGTCCTCTTTAGATTCATTAACTTTTTTAGGAACGTTTTTCATTTCAAAATTCATCTTACGGCTTCCCATTTGCATATCCTCAATTCTATCCTCCAGTATCGTTATATATTTCCTGTCTTCTTTTATTTGGTTTTCCAAATATTCAATTTTCTTCCTACACATTCGAACCAAGTGGTTCCATTTTCGTTAGTATACTTCAAAGAAGTGGATTAATTTCCTAGGAAAGTCACACTTTCCGTCCGATTACAATCTGGGTGAAGGTGCTGCAAGAGCTTTTGTTACGCTATGACTGTGAGATTCACCATATAGGGTTTCAGTACAAAGCGGCGTACAGTTCGGTTTAGGTAAAAATTGGGATTGCAGTCACACAAAAAATTACTTAAAGTAAAAAAGGACTTAGTTACTTACTATTTTAAGACTATAATTTTTTTAACGTGTAGTGGCAGTGCCAGAATATCTACTAACACATATCGCCCGTGGGTGTCGTAAAAGACAGACGCCAGTGTGGCAACTATGGCAAATACCCTCACTATGAGGCAATCTATAGGGAGTCTTGTGTGAACATGGCCGTGGAATTCCACTCTATGTTCACACAGAGTTAGTTAGTTAGTTAGTTACTGTACTACTTAGCTTGTTATGCATAAGCAACACTTCACAATGAATCATCAGTATCTTACGTATCTTCGATTGAAATTCCAATACTCTTAGGAATTTGCTTTATTCATTCCCTTACTTAAAATGAAATAAAGACAAGAATGCTTGGACACGAAAAAAGGAATGGCTTACATAATGAGTTTCTTTGGATATTTTTTCCTTATGTATATATTTATAAGTAATAATGGTAACTGTCGGGAGAAAATCGTCTACTTGCCGCTTATTCTTTCAAGGTGGCGTAGCTATTGGCTTTCAAAAAGTGCCTAGAAAAAACCAATTTTAAATTAAAACATTTTGACTATGACTTTGCATTTTGTTTGATAGTTCGTCATCTCATGTCTTATAAAAACTCGCAGAGGGAATATATACATGTTCAGTATATAATAGAAGCCATATCTTAATAAGGTTGCCGTCATTAATATTTGATATAATTAAATTTTATATTGAATTATAGTATACGAGTACCTCTAAACAAGTTCAATTATTACTACCATTACCACTTTTTAAGTGTAAGGTTTACTTTTCTAAAGAGTCAGACTTAGTTCTACCACCTTTACCATTTTTCTCACTATACCGCAGAGTATCGCTTTAAATGTCAATAGGCCTCAACTCAACATTAAAATACAAATACCAGACATTCCCCATTTTACATATCAATCATCAACTCAGTGCCCATAAACTCCGATCGCTCAGCCAAGTGGTCATTTCATAAAATAAGAGTTGTTTTATAGCCCTTAACTTTTAATACAAAAACGATTTTGTCTTTGTATACTTTGTAACTTCGTTTTAAAGAAAATAAAAGTAATTAAGATTAAAAGCTTTGAGCGATAGAAACTTCTAAAGATCTCCTGCCAAGGGTCAAATTTTGTTGTGAAATCATTTTCTTATTTCTTCAAACCATCAATCATTTTCCTTATATTTTTATGTGGTAGAGTCACGCTACAGCTATATTATTAGCACAAATGGTTCAGCTCGACAGAATAAGGACTACGCTCTCACAATACCAGCGTGAAATAGCAGCTCTGTGTTCCGTATGGTGAGTTTTAGACCATTTTTACTGGAAACGAGACGTTCAATCTTAGTTCTGAAGGGTAACAACGCCTTTTGCATTTTAATCCTTAATATAGGATAATCTATAAAAAAAGGCCACGGCCGCCTGCCTCAGCGGAGGCAAGCCATCGACGCAGGACAGGATTATAGTGCCCAAGTCGTATGCGCAAGAGCACAGGTGCACCTCTCTATTCCCTCACTCTCATAATCCGATGGGACGGTAGAATTTCTTGACGGAAAAAACTCAATAATTAGTTTTTTTGGCCCGACCCGGGATTCGAACCCAGGATCTCATGATCAGCAGTCGTACTACTGCAACCACTAGACCAACGAGGATATATATATATATATATATATATATATATATATATATATATATATATATATATATATATATATATATATATATATATATATATAGTTGTATTAACGTATGATCGCCCCTTATGGGCTGTAGCATCTTCTAACAGTGGGTAAATTTTATGCTCGTTTACCATCCTTATGCTATAAAAGACCGTAGAATAAATTCCTTTAAATTTTGTTTTAATTCCTTTAAAATTGCATGGAAATCTCTCAGAACTTATGGTTTCAATTTGCAGATACTTTTGTAAAATTCCAAATATTGTAAAACCTCTATACTATACACCTTAATTAATTCAAACGCCTTTCATAAATCCACTATTGAACATAGACCTCCCATGTAGATTGCCTTATAGGGCGATATTTGATAGATTTTTTTATTTTGAAATAATATCATGATGATGACGGTTTAACGTACTCAATTATTTAATATTAATTACACTTCGAAACAATGTTTATATATATAATGTTACCGTTTATTTTTTCCGTCAGAACGGGACATCCTTTAAATATTATGTTAAAAAAAACACATGTTCACGAAGTACTTAATGATAAAAAGCGAAACTGAGAATTAATCGTTTACAGTCTGATGGGCTGGAATTTCATATATTTCAGCAGGGGTAATAAATATAAATCAGATATTTAATGTTCTTGTATAATAACTTATTGTAGTAGATCACTGTCCACTACTAAATACAGCCTATATTAAAAAAGCAGAGGAAAAGAAAAAACAAAAAGGGCGCCACAACAAAAAAAAAACAAAATAAAAGAAGGCCGAAAGAAAAAAAAAAAATCCCTATACAAAGCATAGAAATATTATGAAAAAAAAAAAAAAAACCGTCTGGTTCGCACTAACTAAAACCTAATGTTTTTTCACTTTTGCCGTATAAAAGCAGATCATATTTATTTTTTATTTTAGGTTGTAAACAAGGCAAGCAAGTGATAAAAGGTTGCTTGGGGAGCGTCGGTAAAACAGGCACAAGGCTGTAAATTATTTCAACGGTATGACTTTGGTTGGCATTTTTGACTTACCGTCAATATCTTAAAAAACTGTATGTGATGGTATTTTTGAAATAACTCATAAATTGACGATAAAATACTAGTTTCTAAAATTTGTAATTTAGAAACTTGCAATTTATGGTTTTAAATTGTGTAAGCGTACTTACGCAATATTCACGCTTGGATGTATAAACTTTAATTGCGACAGGGGTGAGCGAATTTTTATACTATGTTAGGGTTGTCATTAAAACGTATAGCGTGATTTAACGAGTTCAGGTAAAAATGCAGAGAAAATGATAGCAGCTTATGTAGGCATAACTTTTTCACTCGCATTGAAAGAAATGTAGGTCTGCGAGCGTGCAGTTCGCTGTGTAAAAGTAGGTGTTTAATTAGTAATATTTACGGTTTACTGTTTTGTAACAGTGAAATGAGTTCGAATATTCTAAAATTTCAAGGTTTAGCTTAAATACACGGAAAGAAAGACATTGTGACCTCCAGTAGATGACAATACTTTTATTTCGAATAATTATTGTCAATAATTTATGTGATTAGCGATCCGTCTTGGCTTTGCCTGTGTAGGATCCATAGATGTGGCAGTAATAAGATTTAAAGTAATCAAATACTAAATGGTCTTTTTTAAGTATTTATTTTTAATTTTTTCATGAAATAAAACCTCCCAAGTTTTTCGGACAAAATATAGCTTTGTTCAGAGATGCGTAAAGTGGATTTCGCGGAACCTAAGTGTTCTCTAAAAAAGTTTCGCAAATTATTTATTTTTGCTTGTTAAATAATTTCACACCTTGTTTTAAATATATTATTTTGAAATGCACGAAATTTGTAACGAAAAGGACCCATTACTCTTATGTAGGTACGCAGATAGTTCGCGACTTTAATATTGTTACGAGCTTACGGTTTGTGACAATAAAAACTGCTGATTGAATTACCAAAATTGACACTTTAATTACCGAATACCAATTAAAACTTAGAACACACTAACAATTAATCACACTTTACACTTTAGTTCACTTTATTTCGCTCCGAAGTCTTCGCTCAAATCGCCAATTCAATACTGTCCCGGTCGCGCTCCCAACCGACTTTATATAGGACCTTTTCCACCGAAAATATCTAGAATGTTGGAGTAGAATGTTTTCAAGCAAAGAATTCTCCAGAAAGCCCTCGCCACTCGACACTAGATGGCGCTAGTGGGAGATTTATAGAAGGATCTTGACGCTCCTATTTCTGCCACTTGATACTAGATGGCGCTTATAATCACCCGATATATACCAGGCATTAATTATGGCGCGCAACATTTTTATAAAATTTTAAGTGCACTCTTTATGATATGTAATCATTTGATGTGGGGTTACATAACATAAAAGGGATTTGGTGAGTGTTCCATTACCTTAAAAGTTTGGGTGCCCGGGCCTAGATTACTTCTGGCATTGCTGTCTATCTATTCGTGAAGTTGCATTACAATCAATCCAGCTTTTCCAAAGATTAGCCCGCACAGACAGACGACAGACATACATTTTAAAAATGTTATTTGTCTTAATAGCACGCAAATAACTCTTGAACTTAATAG